TCTCATATTAAAATTTCACTTGGTGTATTTAATAAGACTGGACTGAACAAAGCGTGAATCTGAATTAGTAAACTTGACTGCAGTCAATAAAAAAGATCCAAAATTGGCACAAAAAGAAAAAAAGCGGGGAGAGGAAAAAAAAGAGGTATATGATAGTTTCTAAAAAGTAACATATTTATTGGAAAGAAGCAATATTTGAAAATGGCCAGTTCGAAAACTGACCCCCAAAATCAACAGAATCAGTAAGGATTCAGTAAGATGTAGGATTTCTTTTTTGAGGCAGGTCTTACAAGGCTGGTCCCCAATTTTTGGCTGAAGCAATCCTTAGTCTCAGCCTCTCAATAGCTGGAGCTACAGGTTATGAGCCACTGTGTCCAGATAGCATTAAAAAAAAAAAAAAGATTCTACTTAAGAAATTGGCAGGAAATGATATTGTAAGTGGACAACTAGGGTTGTTTTTAGGCTATACAAATTCAGAAGAGGTTAAACATTCATTCACAGAAATCTGTGATGAAAGATTATTCTAAAACTTAAAGACAGAAATTAAGTCAAAGATTTGTGCAGAATGGAATTCATCTTAATAATCTTTTCAGGAAAGCACATGAGTTCAAGATGGGCATGGGGGAATAGGAGACTGTTCTCTTGCACCTCCTTATAAACTAGGAGCAGAGGTAGTAAAATATTTTAATATGTATACTCAAAAAGGAGAAGGACTATCCCAAATTGCCTTCCCAACTGCAGCGGAAGGTTACCACCCCCAACTGGGCTCTCCTTCCAGTTAAGCAAATGGTGACAACCCGTAAAAGAACAGATTGCCAGCCCCAATTTGGAGCTCCAAGTGGGACCTCTTGGAGTAACTCCAAAGGAGAATCCAAGTCCAGTTTATTTAGCTGGGTCTTTTATAGATAGGATGATGGGAGTTAGTGGGATGGGCTTAGGTGGGTTAGGCCAAGGTGGAGTGTGAGACTGGGGGAGCGAGAATGTCTTAGTACTATATGTGCCCACAGCAACAGCTAATGTTCTATTATGGGTATGTTGTGACCTAGCATGTGGGGTGGATGTCCCATGTCTTAGCAGAGCAGGAGTTTTTCCCTGGGATCTTGTGGCTGGGAAAAGGAACTCAGGTGGCTGGCAAAAGGAGTAGATGAGGGACAGACCTATCATTTCTTGGGTTTTAAGGATGGTTTTTTTAAAATGAAGTAATACTGGGCATGGTGGCACACACCTTTAATCCCAGCACTAGGGGAGGCTGAGACAGGAGGATTGCTATGAGTTCAAGACCAGCCTGGGCTACATAGTGAGTTCCCAGTCAGTCTCAACTACATAGTGAGACCCTGTCTCAAAAAACCAAAAAAATAAAAAAATAAAAAAATAAAGTAAGAGGTTGGGTATAGGAGCATGGGTCCTCTTTGAGCTGCTTCAAACTTACCAAAGTTGTGAGGCCACTGGTGAGAAAGAGAGGGGACCAGTAAGAAACAGAGCAGTGGCCACTTGAAAAGTGAGCTAGGACATGTGTGTCTAAAAGACAGGGTCTGAAACAGACAAGGAGTAACAGGCCCATGAGGGAGTATGAGCCAGGAGCTCCAAGAAGTGGCCAGCCAAACAGGAAGAGTCTAGGACAAGGCATGACTTTATAGGCTAGTGGCTTGATCATGCAGCCTTTTCATGCCAACTTGTACAAGTCCAGACTTATTGGTGAACACCCACCTTTTCTGTAGTAAGTGATTTTGGAGCACAACAGCAGCGAGCAAGTGGATTTAATTTTGCAGGTTAGTGAGTTCAACAGAGAGGGTAGAGAAATGGTAAACGGAGGGGTAAAGTGGATGGCAGGGCAGTCAAGGTGGGGGTCAAGATATGGGCAGTAACAGGTAATTTTGTGCACCAGTGCAGTGAATTTTATTTGTTCTCGGTTGGAATGTGAGGCTGTCAACAGTAGTGAGTGTGAAGGCTAGGGAAGGAGAAAACCTCAAGTAGGCAATGGAGGACCATTAAGTGACAGTGTAATGTCTCTATGAAAGTTTTTATGCAGCCTCTGTTGGCGATGGGGGGACTTCTGTGCAGTGAAAAAGTAAGGAAGAAGTTAGGAAAAGTGTTTGGATTGAGCTATGCGTTTTTGTCTGTTAAGAGGGAAGAGGTTTTCTGGAGGAGCAACTGGGTCTGAATTGTGTCCAGAATAAGAGCAACAGGCACCTATTGGGAGTTTGGAAAGTATTTTTTTATCTATGAACCACGTACTGGGGGCCTGTGGGGTAGGGTTTTTACGTATATTGGGAAAGTGGCTGAGATCGTGGTGATGGAGGTTTGAAGGTAGTCGTAAATGATATCCTGAGCCAGGGGTGGGGGCGAGGGGCATGTATGGATTTTGAGGAAGCATTATAAAAGGCTGACCTATACTGTCTTATTTTACACTACTAATTATTTTGAAATATGGGTGCAAGTGGTGTTTTTATATTCTAACAGAATATTTTAAAGAAATATTTTTGAAGCACTTACACATTTAAATTTATAAATTTATGTCTAAGAAACCTTCATTGAGATGGACATGGTGGTGCACGCTGGTAACCCCCGCACTTGAGAATCAACACATTTGAGACCTGCATGGGCTGCTTAGTGAGTTCAAGGCCAGCCTCAACTACATCTAGACCTATCTCACCCCCTCTCCCCAAAGAAAGTTTCACTGACTGAATCTTTCTGAGCCCCAAGTTTGGATAGTAAGAGATATAGACTCTAAGCTTGTGTTTTGGATGCTGAAATAGTGAACATATGGATAACAATGGATATTGAGAAGTTCAGAGGAAGCCATTTTGTTCTCTAGTGGCAGAATTCCAAGAATGAAGTTTATCTGAGTATCTAGGTTTCTTTGAAGTGAAAAGGGACTCAATTTGTATTATTTCCTACTTTAAAACATGTAACACACAGCTGGGTGTGGTAGCGCATCCCTATAATCCCAGCACTCGGGAGGCTGAGGCAGGAGGATTGCTGCGAGTTCGAGACCATCATGGGCTACATGGTGAGTTCCAGAGCAGTGTGAACTACACAGTGAGACCCCGTCTCAAAAAACAAAACATGTAACACACAATGGATCTCTTGCTAGGTTGCATCCTAAAGCTTAATATAATGATTTTGTATAGAAAGTGATATTTTCAAACTGTCTTATCTTCACCTGCCAGTACACTGTTATGTTGATGAAAACAAGCTGTGCAACCTCAAGCCTTATTAACACCAAGGAAATAAGCATAGTGTGAGCCATATTTTCTGAAAAGGCAGTTCCTGTGCAAGATATATCACACTGTACCCTCCGGAATCTATTGTTAGGCTGTGTCTAGCAGTCAGTGGTCTGACTTGGATTGTATTGCTGTTAGATGTGGATGAACCTATTTTCCTTCATTTAGGTGTTTCCCACAATGAATTGCTTGAGTTAATGAAGTTTCATTTTGGTGACTCTCAGCACATGAAGGAGAAATACCAGCTCTGCCTCCCTGCCAGTTCACAGGAAGTGAGGTAGGGCCAGCCACTTAGCCAGAATTTAGTCTTTTGGGTGTCATGTGTTACATTTGCAAATGAATATACGAAATGTGCATTTTCTAGGAGTAAGATGAAGGAAGTCTACGCTGAAACACAGAAAAGGGAAGACAGGTTACTTTGCTTCCATTCTTTCCTACTGCATGTTATTTAACTGTTTTCCTTTCCTAAAGGAGGAAAGTTTTAAGAGCAGTTAAGTTATAATTTGGTCCTTTTGTACTTTTTCTTTGGCGTTCTGCCTATTACATATGTCAAGATTAAAAAAAAACAAACAAAACCTTACATCAGAAAGACCTATTGCTTCTCGGCCTTTTGGCTAAGATCAAGGGTAGAAAGAAGGACCTAAAATCTTTTTCCTTGAGTTTACTTTGCTAAGTTCTGCCCATGATACATTTGTCATTTGTCGGGTAGTAGCTAAGAGCCAGAATTCGCAGGGAATCTGCGAAGGTGGTAACCTTTAGTTTTGAGTCTCACTAGGAGCTTGGTTTGCCACATTCGGATGTTGCTCAAAATAGTATCTGGAAAGAGGTTTGATGTTGGTGGTTGCATAGAACTGTAGCATGGGCAGCACAGAAGGAAACCTGTAATGTATTAGTTTAAATTTTGATAGAAAAATACAGATTGAGAAATACTACCAGGTTTACCTGACAGAAACTTATATTGTATTTTAGATGCTAGATAAAGAGTGACGACCCTGTAAAAGAACAAAGACAGCCCAATGTGGGGTCCTAGGCTGGACTTCCTGAAATAACTCCAAAGAAGAGTCCAAGTCCAGTTTATCAAGCTGGGTCTTTTACGGATGGGGTAGGGGGGTTCATGGGACAGGCTTAGGTCGGGGGCATGAGACTAGGAAGTGAGAATGGCTGAGTATGTGCCCATAGCAACAACTAAAGTTCTGTTGTGGGTGCCTTGTGACCTAACAGGTAGGGTGGGATGCCATGTCCTAGCAGTGCAGACATTTTCATCCGGGCTCAGATGGCTGGGAACAAGAACCCAAGCCCAGGCGGCTGGGAATGCCAGGAGTGGGTGGAGTAGACAGAGGTCAGAGGGTCACTTCCTTTCTAGCTATCTCTCTTCCCCATTCTCATATAACTTACCTTTGCTCAAACCTACTGCACCCCCTAGTCCTTCCGAATACACGCGATCTCAGGGAACATCTCACCAACTACACGTAGAGAAAAGGAAATCACCAGGAAACTTTCTCAGTCTCCTGCCCTCAAACCCACAGAACCTACTACTCAACCCCATCCTTGCCTCTTTCCCTTCTACTCGAATGGGGCGGGAGAGAGCAGCAGTCCCTGCACCACAAAGGCAATGGGATAATGAGGGGCCTTCCCACAGGTTGCCCTCAGGCTCTTGGGTGACCTCCGCTCTTTCCTTAAGACGTTTCCTATGTTTCGCTCTCCTGCCTTTCCTCCTTAGACTCCGGCACCTCTTTCACACTCTTTCTTCTGTCCTTAAGCTCTCCTGGTCCAAACCTTAGAAGCTGGCGTTTGGGGTGTCCACGCCAGCTCCCTAGGGCTTCTCCGGTCCAAGCTCCTGCTCAGGGAAATCTTCCGTGACGCTTCCCGCTTCGACCTCCCCACACTCGACGTGCGTCCGCAACTACTTGGCTCCAGTACCTCGCAGACCTGAGGAATGCAGTGCTTCTTGAAGTAGTTCCTCAGCGCGGGGTCGGCGGTACGTAGCGAGGCCATGCCTAGAGGCCCGACTGTAAAGCTGCTCTCTGAGGGATCAAGGCGCTCTCTCAACTCCGCCACACGCTGAGGCCCTGGGAGGCGTAGCCTGGCAACCACTGGGCGGAACGCAG